ATTTATTTATTTAACAATTCAATATTGGAAACAAATTGATTGCAGTAGAGAAACGGAACATAAGAAAATGAAAAATATACATCCATAATGTTTTGAACCATCTCGTGTCACTATAACAGTGTAATTCGAAGACTAAAAACATGTGATAATACTGAGGGTTAATTTCACCCCTGCGAAATTATTTTCCAATTAAAAAAAATTTGTTCGTGACAAGTTTCATAATATGCTACATACACATAAAAATTCATTAAATTTCCGTGCTACGCGTATAAAATATGAGAATATTTTATATTATATATTATAATTCCATAATTTTATGTTTTATATATGAAATTAATAAAATATACGACGTATTGTTATCATTTTCATCATACTGTTTCAGTATGACTAAAAACTAAATTTGTGTGTTAACAAATAAAAATTAGTTCAAAAATTACATTGAGTACAGTTATATTAACAATTTTCATTCTGATATATATCCGATATTTATATTGTAAGAAAAACATGCTTACCGGAATTTTGATTCCTTTAGGATCTTCTACCACAACGTCAACTTTACCTGGTGCGAATGTTTCTACGGTGAAATTGTTACGTGCATCCGTTACTGGACCAGTTGGCTCAATACCAGGACCATAAACTTTTACTCTGTCAAAGAATGTTTATTATTGTAGACAATAAAATAAAAACATAACTAAGATGTAAATAACACAAATATTTGTTTCATAAAAGAATATTTATAAAAGAGATAGTTAATTTTCTATAATGTGCCGCTATCTCTGACTCGATGACATATTCGATTACATCAGAAGATATTTTATGAACATAAATATCAGTAAATAAAATATACATATTTCATATTTTTCAATATACTATATTTATGTTAATAATGTTTTTATAAGCACAAGATCAAGATTCAAATTAAGATACAACAAGTTTCAAGTAACAGCGAAAGGAATCTGTATATTTATTTGAATAAGTCGAAATTAATTAGTACATGTTTAAATACTTCAATATACAAATAGTCTTTACCTATCTGGAATCGATCGTGGTTTTAGAGGAGCTCCTTCTTTTAATTTAGCATGTGGATATTGAGACAGGTAAGTCATCATTGATAATTCGTCTATATTGGGGCTGATCATTTCTTCAGGTTTAATGAGCTGTAAACAAAGATTGCAAAATAAATTAGATTTTGATATTAGTACCATTAAATATTTTAATGATAAATATTTGATGTTAATATATCAATAATTGACTTTTATATAGAATGATCCATTATACTTTTCAGCAATTTATTCAGTTGATACATGAATAAATTAGTTAAGAAATCAGTATTTTTTATTAAGAAGTTATCTCGCGTTTTCTGATCTAGAGCTTGTGACCAGTCACGAAAATTTTCGTGCTTTTAACGTGTAAAACCTTTTCTTTTGTTCTCGTTTAACGGAAACATATCTGGCCACTGGGTAAAGTTAACAATAAAACTACTGGTCCGCAATATGTTACCACGAACACAAATAATTCTTTCAGCTGTCGCGTTCACGATTTTAATGACCGAGTTCTATCTCCCAGGAGTAATAGTATCATGATACACTTACCTGTGGTATATTTAGCCAATTGTCTGCCAAGTCCATTGCGACCGAAGTATTTGATAAAGCATTATTCGGACTCCAGTCTTTCCAATCGGGGCAAAGCCCAGGTGCAACGGCGTCCACAAGAGCTCCGATAGTTCGTCCATCCTTCCAATTGGACGTGAAATTATTAATTGGCAATTCTGGAATCTTAGACTGTATCCAACGCATTAATCTTGCGTTTGGCGCAATGGGTTTGTCATTTTCGAACTCTTCTTCCTCCAGCATAGGCAGAGAAATGCAATAATGCAGAATTAGTGTCCATAGTAATCCAAGAATCAACTTGAGCTTGCAATCAACGATGTCTGTCGAATCTGCAAATCAAATCAATCCAAATACTTATGCAAATACTTACTATCACTGGTAAAAGGATTACACTCAGTAAAACAAGATTGACTAAGAACTTCTTTCCAAACATCGTAATAATGTATAATATAACTCATGGCAAACAGTTTTCGATGGTACGCCATAGTAAAAAGTTATCGAGAAATACCAAATATGTTTTTATATAAAAATATTTGATATTAATATTCAAATATTAAGATACGAGTATAAAACTTGGACTAATGTTAAATTGCAAAAAATATTTTAGTTACCCAGTATTGAATGAATTATCATTTATTTCTTTGGAAACTTATAAGGTCTAATACTTTATCCAGAACTTCAGTCCGTCGGATTCGAACGTATTTCTAAGCAACGCTCTATTTACACATTGTTTTGTACAATAAACAAGTCTTCATTATTTTTTGTATATTTATTCCATATTAGACCCATGTAACATTACTCCAAGTTTTATACTCGCATTTTAGTATTTTACATGCAACAAATTTGATATTTCTCGGTATTGTTTTCCAGAGGTTGCACATTATATGTTAGTGTTATTACAAATGTTCTTATAAAGATATAATATATAATGATACATGAATAAATTAGTTAAGAAATCAACATTTTTTATTCAGAAGTTATCTCGCGTCTTCTGTTCTAGAGCTTGTGACCAGTCACGAAAATTTTCGTGCTTTTAACATGTAAAACCTTTTCTTTTGTTCTCATTTAACAGAAACATATAATATAAGATATAATATAATATATAAATAAATTGTATAAATGAATAAATAAATAAATAAATAAATAAATAAATAAATATAAATATCTCACAAGTGGATATTCGTTTCATATTAACAGGGGTAGTATCTTCACAGGAAATTACACAGCCTTTATCGTAAATATCGTCGTACGGTATCGAGATACAAGTTAAACAAGACAGGGTGACAAGAGATATCAGGAGGAAGGCTTAAAATATATGGGAAATTTGCTTTTCGGAAATTGCCTGAGTCGTTCCATGACAAATCGTTCATATCAGACTACGATGTCATATGAGAGTAATCGTTATCATTAATTTAGTTTGTGTAAATTAATATCCCTCCGAGATAATAAATCGCCGAATTTAACGCTTTACAGGCGAATATCATAGTAATGGGAACTTCGAGCGTTGATATTTAAAATAGAAAACCTCAAAGGAAAAATTTAATTATTCGAAGACTGAGAAATATATATGTTTGGCTTTCTTCTTTTCAGATTTTGATGCATAATTTAATTCTTTGTAGAAAGTCTTTAGAATTTTTAAAAATTTGCACCCATAAAGATTATATCTTTATAATAAGATAAGATAAGACTATAATCTCCTTTCTAAATAGAAGTATTTTCCATACGTGAAATTCGTTTATCTTTCACAGTTAACACACAATTAATTTTTAAAGTTGAAAGTCTGATTTCGAAAACTGCGACTGATGGGCGAAGATAATTTTCAAATTCGTATTCAATCTACGAAAATCTGTAAGAGATGTTTGAAACATAAAAAAATTGTTGGTGACGATTCAACGTTGGTGAAAATTCTCAAGTGAAAATTTGCTGGGCAGTATAGTTACACATATACACAAATATTTACGTTTGACAAAATATAAATAATAAAACTGTTTCTTGTATCATATACGAATCAAGTTAGCAAGCTACACGTTATTTCAAATTACGTCATTCAACACATTATATTTCAACAAAAAATCCTTAAAAACTCGTACGCTTGTTTCTCATTTGCAAAGATTTCATTGTTTTTTTTGTAGCATTGATTCACGTTTTACTTCGAAATGAATAACTGATATAAATTCAGGTCGAGACGTAGCTTTTATACTCGCGGTTTCATCATAAATGAGATACGAATTTAATACCGTCTGGTCAAATGCAGTGAATAGAACTCTTTTCCAATATTTAAAGTACGTCGTTCATGAAGATACGTATGCATGCAACATTCGTCTGATTTGTTAACTCTACCTATGTATGAAACTCTCCTATACAGAAATACTTTGCTATATGTCTTTTTAATTATTACTATATTCTTTGCTACTGCTAACACACTGAATCCCCGATAACATGAACAATTTCTTCATTCCCTTCCGTTGAGCTAGAAAAACCTCTATAATTCGAAATATAAAACTTCTATAATTCGAATTGTTCGATTTATCTTTTTTTTCCATTTTTTCATTTAGTTATTTTAGGGGCAAGTGCAGTTTATTACAGAAAAGGAACTTGCTTTCTCTTGAAATTTGACTTAACGAGGTTCGACTGCATTCAAATTAATGATACGAAGATTTGTATACTTTTCTTTTTACGATATCCTCACGAGAATACCTGTTCATTTTAAAAATATACAGTTAACTTCTGTGCCACCAGCTTTGTTAAATATCATTTGGAATATGTTTTCTATTACCAATAATTGTTTCAATTAAATATGTACCTTCTTAATATAAATTGAAGAAGTTGTCCACGAATGTGCTTAAATTTTCGTCGTAATGTGTTTACAGAGTCCTTGACCTTTTCTTAATGGTAGGAATTACAACAGTTTAAATGAAGACTTCTCACGCAATATAGATAACTTCTTTTTATTTAATTTAACGCACGTTCTATGTATGAAAGATATGTAGTTCTCCAATGCTCCCAGAGATATACAAATTTACATTCGTTTCAGAAGGTGTTTTCGCCTCTAAAATCGTATTATGCTATGAACATAAAACTGGTTTATATTACGGATGAATTACTCTACCTGTATGTAAAGTTTCATAATTTCCTGAATTTCTGGTATCCCAACTTCCTTTGTGAGGTAATAAATTAAACGGGATTATAAAGACTAGTTTAAATACGGTGGTTGATAAAAATTACTGGATGGAACTTTTGAAATCAATTGTGTGGACATAAAAACCTTAAATGGAACGATTTCATTGCATATTTTTAATTCATTTTTTCATCTGAAATTATCCTCTTCCTGATTGTACCACCAACTACGAGATATTTAAAAGAAAAGCATTTGACTCTGCCTTTAAATATTACATCAACCAATTTCTTAATTTGTTCAATAACTGTGATACCATAGTATCTAAATCATTCTGGCTTGAATAAATGAAATACACATCAATCATTCCCCTTTTACAATTTTTCTTCAACTTTGCTCTGACCTTTACATACTATACCAATTACTGTTGTAAGAAATTTTAAATAATAATAATAATAATAATAATAATAATAATAATAATAATAATAATATATAAAATATATGTAATTTAATTGTAATGTATTATATGTAACACTTTCAGCGTGTGCTCTCATATAACAAATGCAAATCAGTGAGACAGTACTAAAAGAATAAAAACCTAAAACAGCTTCACATTTATATATTTAACGAGCGAGTAATAATAATTACGCAAATAAGAATATGAAAAATTAAACATTCAAAGGTTGGTTAAAACTGTGTTCTGTGGACCACTTTTACTTAATTATTCGCATAGGGGTTACGATAACATTGTTCATTACGAAGTTGGAAATTTCACGAGTGGGTTAGCCGATAAAAAACGTAAAATGGGTCGACAGTATTGTTCCTATCTATTTGAATAGCACAATGGAAACGACTGTTGTACAGAACGTACCATGTAAGTACTTTAATTTATAAACTTCGTTAAAATAATACGCTTGGCGCGTCGGTCAAATATTAATTTCGAGTCGCTCCTCGGTACTTGGCTATTTATCAATTCATTTTTAAATGAAACATACCGCAAAACTTGAAGGGCTGAAAATATTTTTTTTTTAAATACTTGTTGCTTGGAAAATAGAGGCTGTTGGAACAGAATTTTGGTTTTGATTACGTGTTCTCCAATGAGAAAATTTACGTGAAAACTGTATGTTAATGAATTTTCATGTAAATTCACATACTTATGTACATATGTAATGTGCAAATCGAAATACATGTTACAGGGATTTTAAAATTCTTGTTTTTCAGCATATAGCAATATAATTAAAGTTTCTTTGTTTTTGGTATAATAAAAAATTAGAAGAATTCAACATTTCATTAAGATTTTAGAATCTTGAGAAATTACATGAAACATATCATAAAATATGGTTACGAGAAAAACGTGTTGAAAGTTTTTGTGTCGTTTACGTACGAAAGAAATAGTTTTACTGATTGAGAACCTATGTATCTCCAAATTTGTTTCTCCAACTATTTTTTGAAATACATATTTTCGAAAACATACACTTGAAAAAAATATAAGAAATCGATTTTTTCAAAATGCAAAATGAGAACATCCTCTTAGATTCCTAAACAATACAGTAATTTCAAGAAACCTTCTGAATGAAGGTATAGAAATCACGATTAATTGCGAATTATCTTTGTAATTTAGTTCTGAAATATTTGGGTAATAGAGCTAACCAAGATAAATAGGTCTCCCATTTCCGACAGAACTACTGTTCCAAGTCAAATTTCTTTTAATCGAATTGTATGCACGTTGTTCGAGCGTCTATGTAAATGCCAGAAACTAATGGAAGGTCTCCTTATTAGCTAGTATTACACTCGTCTATTGGCAGCTATTCAATTGGTGAATCACTACTTTAAAGATAATCCTTAATGTTTTTCTTGTTCGCTTTACTCCATCAAATGTAATGCAATGAGATTTTGTATGTTGTTACTAAGTATTTGCAAGTACCTTTTAAAAAGTGTTGATTATACATTACATCTACTATTATAATATCCATGAAATAGCTCCGTAATGATGCAACGATTAGAAAAGTGTAATCCTTATGTGTCGCGGTGAGTCACTGATACCAAAAAAAGAGTGAATCACAATCAATTTTCATACGCAAGAATATGAATATATTTATCAACACTTACAAATATGATAAATGTTATTACTGTGCATGAAATAAAACTTCTATATACTGGGTGTCCTGTACAACTGGATTTTAAATTTAGAAAAATATTCGTAAGGAAAATTCA